CCAAAAATCGTAAATGGGAAAGAGGAACACATTACAGGGATGCAAGCAGTCAGATTCAGAGTGTAAAAAGCTGTACGAGGCGGGCCAGCAGGTGGCATGGTGGTTAAAGCCCTGGATTCCCACATGACTGACAACAGTATGAGTCATGGACCCGGTGGCTTGAAAATCACAACAAATAAATAGATAAATAAATAAATGTTAAAAAAAAAAGAGAAGAAGTTGTACAAGGTGAATGACCTGATTTTTTTTTTTCAAGAGATAAAAAAAAAAAAGAGAAGAAGTTGTACAAGGTGAATGACCTGATTTTTTTTTTCAAGAGATAAATGGCAAGGGAGGAAAAAGAGAAGGAAAAATCACTATAGATTAAGAGACTATAAATCAGATGTGATAATGGGGACCTTGTTTTGATTCCAGTCCAAACCAACCAACCAACCATAGAAGGCACTTTATGAGATTGCTAGGTATTAGGTAATATTTAAAAATTACTAGTGTTCATTTCCTTAGGTATGATTATGATATTGTGAGTATAGGAGGGAAATGGTAAGAAGAGTCCTTTTCTCTTAGATATGCACATTGAAGTATTTAAGGATGAAATATGATGTCTAAGATTTGCTTTATAATAATCTAAGATGGAGGGACCAGTAGTTAATGTAACGGCTATGTCGCTGGACTTCCATGTAGTCAACTGCGGTTCAAGTCCCGGACCCAGTGACTTAAACTCACGCTGGGTGTGTGTGCATGCATGCCCAAGATCCTGAGAGGAGAATGGAGGAGAAGGGATTGTGGCGTGGCCATCACCCCCAGGGGGTGATTTCTCACTTTCTGTCTCTGTCTCTGTCTTTCTGGCAAGCGCACATGCCCTATAGCAAAAACCTATCCATAAAAAAAAAAAAATCTAAGATGGGGAGGGAGCGGAAAGCATAGATGAAATAAAATTGATTGCTATTGAAGCTGGGTAAAACGTATTAGTTACTTTTTATTATCCTTTTTACTTTTATACACGCTTAAAATTGTCCATAGTAAAAGGCTAAAATGGAAGAAGAAAATAACAAAACCTGGATTCAAACTTCAGGACTTACTAGAAACAGGATCTTGGAAAAGTCTTGTGAATCTTCTGATCTTAATTTCCTCCTCTGAAAATGGGCATAATAATCCCTGCTTCATGGCATTGTTGGGAGGGCTGGAATGAGATCGTGGATTTGCATCTTTTGAAAATCCACCTCTTATGACTGCAAAGCTACTTACAAATAATGGTGGTACGGCAGTCAGCCCCCTCTTTCCGTAATGCTCTGGAAGTAGAGAGAGCCTACAAATTTGTGGGAGTACACAGGTGACAGGGTGGATTCATCCAGACCCTAGGAATTTTTGTTCTGTAGTAATCCCTTCATGTCAGCTTATTTATATTGTCCTTTTCCTCTCAAAAAAGAGTGGGTAAAGATATTTTCAAAAACTTGAAGTTCTCTGACTTGGGTTTGCCCTATGTCTTATTTACTTTCTCAGTTATTCACATTTCCCCTACTACAGGTAAAAGCGAATTTGTTGGAAACTGTATTGTTGAGACAAAACTCAACATAATTAGGCAACAATGTAACTCAATAAGACTTAAAAATATCCCAGGAGCTTTTAGAATAGATTTGTATCTTTAAGCACTTAGACTTCACTGCAAATAAAAAGAAATTAACAAAGGTTGGAGTCTAAGTAATACAAAGGGTATTTGGCACTATCTGGCTTACCTCTGCAGAATGGGTTGGAGGGAGCCAGGAAAATGTGTCTATATGCAAATCTAATCCAGCCACTTCCCTTCCTTTCTATGGCTTTTCTTCGCCTTCTGAAAAAAGTTCGAACTGCTGAAAAGAATTAGGTGGCTCTGCAGCCTTATTCCTCCCCCCTGGCCTAGTCTTGTCCTCACCAGGACTCATAACCCTTCCCAGTAGAGGTCAAGTAAGGCTTTCCCTTCTACTCCTCTCTCTACCTCTGGGCAGGAAAGTCTTGATTCTCTTCCTGGCAAATCTCTAGACTCTGCCCTCTCCCTTCCACTCCTGCTACAGTTACCACCCTCCTTTTAACACTTACTCCCCCATCCCTGTAAACAGAATATATCCTGATTGTTTTTTTCTGACAATAAAAGCACTTCATGACTTTAAAAGAGAAAAATAAGCACGGAGAAAAGGAATGAAAGTTTTCCCATCATCTCACAATACAGATATAAAAAACTTACCTTTCTAGTATACCTATGTTCATAGGAGATTATTAACAGCCAGATGCAAGACACCCAAGGGGCCCTAAATGGGACAATGGATAAACAAAATGCCGAATAAGCTTACAACGGACTATTGTTCAGACTTAAATAAAAGAAAGACATCCTGACAAACCAATCACAGAAAGACAAATACTGTATGATTCCATACATATGAGGTTTCCAGAGGAGTCAAATACACAGAGGCAAAAGGCAGAATGGTGGTTGCCAGGGCCTGCAGGGAGGAGAATGTGGAGAGTTGTTTAATGGATGTAATTTCAGCTCTGCAAGATGAAAAAGTTCTGGAGACTGCCTGAACAATGTAAATACACTTAGCACTACTGAACTGTACTTGAAAATGGATGCTGTGGTAAATTTTATGTGTATTTTACCATAGGCAAACATTTAAAAAAATTTAGCCAGGGGCAGGCAGGTGGCATGATAGTTAAGGCACTAGACTCATACATGGCTGACTATGGTTCAAGTCCTGGACCTGGTAATTTGCTTTCTCACTTTCCCTCTCTTTGTCCCTTTCTGGTGAACTAAATAACAACAATAATACATAAAAATAATAAACAATTCTTAAAAAATAAGCTAAACAGTGGAGTAATATAAAACACAAAGCTCTGCAAGGCAATCCCGCTTGAGAACATTTCTGGTTTGAGTCCAAAGACTTTCCTGAGCACACTGGGCACAGATGCCCAAGATCTGGGGTTGGCTGAAGGCTGGGGTGGATCTGGCATCAAGACCCTATTGAGGGTGCTAGTCCTCTTTTTTGTGCACATGCGCACACACACACATGTATGAAGTATCATTTACTTATTGCCTCATCTAGATAGTGGTTAAGAGAACTAGTATTTCCAGGTGTTTTTCCTATAAGTATGTGTACAGACACTTAAGAACAAAAAGAGAACATACTGTACTATAATCTGCTTTGTATACTCAATCATATGCTATAAACATCTTTCTAGTACAGACAGCTCCCGCCTAATTCTCTTTTAATGGCTGACAGTATTAGACCATCACATGACTACATCATAATTTAACCAGTCTGCTTTCAGATTTCCTTTAAAAAAAAAAAAAAGAATTATTTATTTATTATCATTATTTTTCAATTTTGACCGGAGAGAGAGAGCGAGAGCGTGCAAGCCAGCAGGTCTGGAACTTTAAGCGCAGTCGACCTAGTGGGAGTACAATGCCTTTAACCACACCACCTGCTGTCCCCTGTTTTCAGTTTTTCAATATCTTGGCACTTTCCCACTATGTCTTATGATCCTTTTCAGGTACCAGCACTCTGATTTTCCCATGGGAAAACTACCTCCGTAGGGCCACCAGGCGGTGCGGTCATTAAGGCACTAGACTGCCACATGGCTGGGCTGACCAGGGTTTAAGTCCCGGACCTGGTGGCTTGTTTTTTCACTTTCTCTCTGGTGAGCACATGAGTCCTATAGCAAATTTAAAATAATAATAAATAAATAACATTAAATAAATGAATTTTTTTAAAGAATTACTTCCTCTATCCTAACATCCATCCTGTTCTCCCACCTCCATCCTCACTTTTAAGCTTTTTCTCCATACTTATTTTTCATGTTGTGATGTAATTTCTCCTACAATTATTTTCTATCATTGATTGCATAAAGCTGTTTTTTTTTTTTTTTTTGTCTATCCTGTGGCTGATTGTTCACTTAACCTTATAAGTACTTTTAACTTAATTCGCTTACATTTTCTCAGCAGATAATTGTATCGCTGGTAGATAATTATATCATCTCATAGGGATTCTAGGTAGTGGTTAAGAGTCTGGGCTCAGGGACCAGCAGATGGCATGAGGGTTACATCACTGGACTCCCACGTAGTCAATCATAGTTTCGGTCTGGACCTGGAGACTTAAACTTCATGCCAGGCACATGTGCGTGCGTGCCCAAGATCCCGAGAGGAGAATGGAGAAGGGATTGTAGTGTGGCCATCCCCCCAGGGGGTGACTTCTTGTTTTCTGTCCCTCCATCTCTCACTGTCTCTCTGGTGAGTACACGCACCCTATAGTAAAAATCTCTCTAAAAAAAATAAGAGTCTGGGTTCAGGCAGACCTAGATTCAAATACTAAGTAACTGATCTCAGTTCCTTCACCCATTAACTAGGGACTACTGTAGGGCCTATCTCACAGGGTTGCTGGAAAGATTGTATTAAAAGATGAGCGCATGAGGGGCCAGCAGGTAGGTGGTGGTTGGGGGTGCTAGACTCCCACATGGCCGACCATGGTTCAAGTCCTGGACCTGGTGGCTTGCTTTCTCACTTTCCCCCTCTCTCTCTAGCTCTGTCCCTCTCTGGTCAAATTAAAATAAATAAGTAAAATTAAATAAAATAATTATCTAAAATAAAGAAAAAAGATTAGCACGTGCAAGTGCTTAACACAAGTTCGATAAATACCTGCTATTTGCTGATAGTGAAAATGGGACTTTCTGCCTGTACTTAAATATTTTTATTCATTTGTGTTACATTACACCAGAATGCTCCCTCTGGCAATCATTAATGCCTTGTTTCCACTTCTCCAAAGAGCAGAAGCCATCCGACATGTACTGAAGGATCTGTGCTATGGAGCGCAGCCACTCCCACCTTCTCAGGGACGTTGTGCTGTCAATTGTCCCCTTGTCGCCTGTATCTCCTCAGCCTGTCTCTCTCTCTCTCTCTCTCTCGGCTCTTTGCCAACAGCATATAATTTCCCTTTCATATCTAAAAAAACAAAAAACAACAAACTTCACTTCATTGCTCTCCAG